AGGGTCTTAACAACCACATCCTGAACAGATTTTCAGGATGCACGGAGGGCTTCAGGGAGAATAAATTGATGAGTCACCTCTTCCCTCCAGCTCTCTAATAAGAATATCCCACGGGTGCAATTCTGAACCTAACTTGCCATTTCTGATCATAAAGGCAGTTGTTCTTCAGGCGAATGATGGATGTGTGAATTGCTTTCTTTTAAATTTATTCCCAGGATAAATGGTTAAACTCTTGACTTCCATAGTCAAAAGTGAAATCTAACTGTTACAGCTGGATTACAGCTTTAGTCTTTGCTGGAAAACATTGCTGCCAGGAATTAATGGATGCTGCAAGTGTCATGTATCTTACACAAAAATAGGGACTAGTGGTAAGCCAGTAGATGCTGGGAAAATAATTGAGCATCAAAGAACAAATAAATAAATATTAGGGAAAGGGAGCCCATGTTAATTTTCACAAGATAATTTCAGCTGATTGTTAATTTTGGGTGAGATCCGATATACCGTAGTACAAGCTGGCGTCTGCTTGCGCAACATGACTTCTCCTTCACTTCCTTCCCTCCTGAAGTCCCCCAAAACTGCTTTGAAGTTTTGAAGAAGCCCTTAGATTAGATTTTGCGAGGTACACCAGAGGCTACAGCAGAGAGAAAGTGAAACCAGAAGTCCTGTTGTGCAAGGATATTTCCTCTGCATAAGTGAGTGGACATCACTGGACATTGTCCTTTGTTTAAATGCTTCTTCTATAGTTTTAAATGTGTTTTTCCCCTGTAGCTAAAAATGAGTGCCGCCATGAAATAAACGAGGGCTGCCAGCACTTCTGCTATCCAGAACTGACGTCGTACCGCTGTTCATGTGCAAAAGCCTATGAACTTGGGCAAGACGCTAAATCATGCCTTCCCCAAGGTAAGTCTAGAAAATGGAAAAGGAAAAATTTATTTTAGGAGGCAACAATACAGACCAATGTACCATACTAGTGATTCAAAATGAACTGTGATTCAAGTCATCGCATCAGTCATGAAATTCAGTGGCTGCTCTTGGCAAGCCTCTGGTTGCCTCATTCTTCTCCTTCTGTGAAACGGGGATAGCTGCCTCTCTTAGTGGGTTGCTAAGAATTACAGGGATTCCCCCCCCCCCGAAAGCCCTTATGTACATTTGGTGATCACACAGGGTCCCCAGACGTTTCACCGTCTATTGATCCCTGTGCCACCACTTTATGTCTCGCTGCCACCACCCAGGCCCTACCTGGTACAATACTGAGTCCAATCAGGGTTAAATTGGAACATAAACTTCTGTTTATTTATTGCAGTTTAACAAGCGTGTGGTTTCATAAACGGTATCGGTCCATTACAATCGTGGGGTGCCTATCCAGACCTATAACTTCCGCTACCTGCTCTCACTCACGAAACCACCTCTCAGATATTTACTTGTCTTCCTAGCTCCTAACTGTTCCTGACTCAGCTTATTTCTCTACACTAACTCAACCTCCCACAGACTCTATCCCAATTCACTCCCACTCCAACCAACCTCCCAACGAACTCCCCCCTTCGCCCCTCCCAGAGCTGGTTTTATTTTTCCATATTTTTACCTACCATTGTTAGATCAGTGTGCATGCGGCAGACATAAAGACCACTTACCAGTGCAGCTGGATGCAACCAAAACAATCCAGAGAGGATTCCCTTGGCAGGTATGTGAAATGTTGAACACAACTTTTATCTAGACTTGCTGTATGTGCCTAAGCAATGCTTAGGCAGGTCTGCCCCCATTTTCCTTGCTCAGACCACAGCTTGCTCTCTTCCCTCCTCTCAACTGCCCCTCTAAACTTTTGCCCAAATTGCAGTGCACTCAACATGCCTTTGACTGGTGGTGGTTACAGCAGAAATAAGCTTTTCTTCTGTAATAGTGTGTTCCCTGATGCTGTGCTCTGAGCAGCAATGGGGTGCAGAAGAACAATGTATCCTGCCCTATGGACTTAAAATTGCTAAATCAGAGCCATGTACTGTCTTCCGTACTTTCAAGGTCCTGCTCTTAAACTCAGAAGGAGAATGGTTCTGTGGTGGTGTTCTACTGAAAACTAACTTTGTCCTGACTACAGCTGAATGTGCACGGCTGACTCCCGTCATTGCTGTGATTGGTAGGTAGCCAAATGACCCTTTTGTCAGTTTGCATTTCTTAGTACATAAAGTATTGATCTGATGTGTAGAGATCTTTCCTATTCTACTTAAGCTTCCACCACCCTCTTGAATTATCTGTGTGAAAGAAACAAGCAGAAGGTTCATGTTGTTTGGGTTATTTCTTCAGAAAAGCCGATTACAGCTGGTTTAAACTGGTCCTGTTATTTATTTCTGTCAAGGTCTTGCTGACTATAATAATAGGCCAGATGGAGGCTGGATTTCATTCACTTTCTCTTTTTATATCTTTTCCTTCTGGTGTGGTGTTCTGTACGTAGTATGCTTTGTGTTAAGTTTTAGACTTATTGCAAGTTATTGTAAGTGTGAGTTAGTCTGCTGCAACTGGATTTCTTATGGACAGTGCTAATTCTGAAAGTACTGGATTTGTGACCATTATGCTCATTTGCCTTCAGTAGCAGTAAAGCTCTGCTGAATGAAATGCCTCTGCTATTTTGGGGGAATCCTGCAAGGTGTTTAAATTTTTACTCTGCTAACTATACAGTGGAATCTACTCTGGATCAATATTGAGTAGAATTTCAATGACACCTTTATCTCCGTTGTGAAAGCTCACAGCCATCTCAGGCATTTCTCCTCTTTGCAATGCAAACACGCATGTAGGTACTTTTTGTGCACTTCCCGTACATTTCACACTCGGGGTTGTGCCGGAACTATTATTAACAAGACTGCAACCACTTTGGTTCAGGCAATTGGTGTAGATAACCAAGAAAAGATTACACTTCACCAATGCATTCCAAGATAAGCAGGCAACTGTGACACGTACCCAACCTTACCAAATCCGTATTAAGAGTTGTAAGAATTCTAGAGAACTTTCCTAGCTTTGCCAAGTCAACCCACTCAGGATTTGACCTGGGCAAGAGTAAATGACATTTTCAACAACAGTATGGGACGCAAGTGGCGCTGTGGGTTAAACCAGAGAGCCTAGGGCTTGCCGCTCAGAAGGTTGGCGGTTCAAATCCCCGCGATGTGGTGAGCTCCCGTTGCTCCGTCCCTGCTCCTGCCAACCTAGCAGTTCGAAAGCACGTCAAACTGCAAGTAGATAAATAGGTACCGCTCCGGCGGGAAGGTAAACGGCGTTTCCGTGCGCTGCTCGGGTTTGACAGAAGCGGCTTAGTCATGCTGGCTACATGACCCAGAAGCTGTATGCTGGCTCCCTCGGCCAGTAAAGCGAGATGAGCGCTGCAACCCCAGAGTCGGCCACGACTGGACCTAATGGTCAGGGGTCCCTTTACCTTTAAGGTTGTAGCATTCTGTGGTTTCTCTTCTTTCTGCCCCTATAAAAATTGGGGTGAAGGGGCGGTAAACATACACATGCATTCCTGCGAGTTCCATATCAAATGTTTGCTCTTCTCACCAAAAAAGGATTTGCTGACAGTCCAGATGCGTTTGGAAACTAACAGTATCGCCCAAGTATAATATCGTTAAGTCCTATTGAGAAATGGCTACGTGCTTATTCCAATTCAAGGCACTATTGCTATAATAACTGTTTGCCAATGTGAGCCTATTCCAAGCAAATGCTATTGCAACAACTAACGGGTACATCATTACTTACACAGGAATCAACAGGCTGCAAAGAGCTAGGCAAGAAATACCTGTGAAACAGATAAACATACACATCCGCTATGATAGCGACACCGGTGAGAACAACTTGGCTTTGCTCGAACTCGAACAGCACATTGGCTGCAGCAGCCACCACCTGCCCATATGCATCCCAGAAAGGGATTTTGCGGAGCACGTATTGATTTCAGAACGGGAGGCCACTCTCAGTGGCTGGAAAGCAGATGGAAATACCTCCACAGGTTCAACGGCGGAGCTGTCGGTTTCGTACCTCAACGGAGACGAATGCAAGCAAATCCTCAACAGGACACTGATAACAAGGGAATTCTGTGGCTATAGCCGCGAAGTATCGGGAGAACTACTGGCTGGAGGTAGCTTTAGCGCTGTTGACTATAAAGGCACTTGGTTTCTGACGGGTGTTTTAGAACCATGGGCAACAGAAGCAACTAAGTGGGAAACACTTATATTCACTAAGACGACACGATACATGATGTGGTTTAAGCAAAAAATGGACTAACTGAAAGCAAGGGCAGAGGAATATGTGGAATGGCAAGGCCCAGCATTTGTATGTATTTGTGTAGAAGTCAGTTGTAAAAATTATGTGCACTTAATTGTTGACAATAAAACTTTTTGCCCTGACCTATGCATTTTAACAGAACACATTACTAACATCATTTAAGAAATAATAATAATGTAGCTTTATTTACACAGTACTAGCTGGTCCTGAGTTATTGCAACTGTTGGTGCCTTTTGATTTCCATGGCTACATTTGCATGAGTTTTAGCAAGCAGGGGTGCGCCTGTATGACAGGATTTCAGACAACACTTTAAGACATTGTCCTACATGCAATCTTGCAGGGGCAATGAAAGCCCATCTGCGTATAAATGTCACCTGCATAGATTGATAAAACCGTGGTGTAAAATCTGACTATAAATTTATGCGAAAAACATTCTTCTTATTCACCGCTGTAGTCTCTTCAGTGGGAATTCTCACACTGCAGAAAAAAATTGGAATGCTTAACAAAATGGAGCTATGCAACTATTTTACAAAACCAGACAAACTATTATTCTTTGTAAATTCAAATTTTTTTTGTAGCCAACTATTTCAAAAGATGCTAAAAGGACACACAGGTGCATGAGGAAAGCAAACAAGCCACACCAAAGCATTTTTAAAACTTCCAATTAAATAAATAAAAGTTTCAATCCTCTCAGGAAAAAAATGAGGATTTTCTAGCCATTCTCTGTCGTTTGAACACACAAATACCACAAGATAAATGTTTACTGTTATTCACTATTTAGTCAACCAATATCAGATACAAATGGTTGCAAAACACATTTTCAACTGTTCCAGCTACAGTAACATTTAACCAAAGGGTGTCAAAAGAAGACACAACTGTACAAAAACAATTTTTTAAAAAAGTTTGCAGTTTTCTACAAGGCTTGGATCCAGCACAGTTCCACAAGGCAGCCTCGCCAGATTCTCCCATTTTCCCTAGCCTGCTGCAGCCTCTGCCTGCCTGCTGTTTGAAAAGGTCCTATGACAGTGCAGAGTGGCATCGGGTTGGAGGAATAAGCAGGAAAGCCCCATTTCATTATAGCAGTCTCTTAAATACTCTTGAGTACTCCCAACAGATTTGGTCTAAATTCATGGCCAGTTCTATCCTGCTCCAACAGCAACCTGCGTCAATGGACAGCACATCTCCATTTAGGTCACAGCAGATTCAGCAGACGGTAGACAGCGGAGGAAACGGGTTTTGCTTGCTGACCACAAGCTTTTGGTGCTGGTGCGATATATAGCCTTTGATGTGACCCTGGAACAGGAAAATGAATATTAGTATTGCGAAGGTGAAACCCTTTATAGACTTTTGCTGGAATGAGATATGTATTCAATAAAGTACACAGGGCTTCCAAACAATATCATCACGTTATAAAAGCAATAGTTTTTCATTTGCTACTTAAATGGGACGCTGTGTAGTTAATAGTGGATGAAAAGCCAGAAAAATGGCAAACCTTTTTCATTTTTTACAGAAAAGAAATTGGGCAATGTGATAGGCCTGCACAGGATAATAGACATCCTTTTGTACACGTATCGTGGTAGTATGTAAAACCACCGATAAGAAAATGCCCCTTGCATAATACTTTAATATTAGATTGCACTGAATAGGCACAAGTCTACGTATAGTCGTTGCATGCCACCATATATGCAAATAACTTGCCAGTGTTCATTAATGAATTGAGAGTTGTTTGTTTTATATGGGTCTGGTACAACAACAACATGTTTCTGCAGAATGGTTTCATTTGTTCATGATGAATGAAAAATCACGGTGCTCACCATATATATGAGGTTAGCTAGAATGCACTGGACTTCATCCGTATCAACATCATTAACTTTCATGAATTTCAGGGCAACCAGAAAGGCATCTAAAGACAGCTGGTGAGTTTTGAGTAACAAATACCTGAAAGAAGAAAAAGTACACCTCAGTTACTGTAGCAAACCTAGATGGGAGTCCCACCATCTCTATCCTGTAAGTACCAATTCATGTTTCTGCAAATGGGGGAGTACAAAATACCTTCTCTATCTGGGGAAACCATATTTGAGCCCCACCTAAAGGCCAGACCATGCTAATCCAACCAATTTATTTTTCCTCAGCAGAGAGTCAAAGCTGGGTGCGACCTGTTATAATATATGGACAAAGATTTAAGGGGGAAATAAACCTCACTTAGTCACTAAAATCTCAAGCTTAGCTGCATCCATTGCATCCTCCTTTATTTTTGAGGTGGGACAGAAACCTAATGCTGTACTGCAAGCACAGGGTTAGGGGGCAAAATAATCTAGTTATGCCAGTTGTTCCTGAATCTGTCAACTTCTTTACCTTTAAAAAAAGGAAAGAAAACAAAGTTAACTCGATGTAATTCACTTTTACTTCTTGCCCCTAACTTGATTTCTACAAGTTTTGTTCATATTCAGTGAAATGTTCCTAGAAATTTTTCCAAGGTAACTAGCATCATGGCTACCAAAAGGGAGAGTCGCCTAACAAAACGAACAAACAAACATGGCAGCCCGGCTGAATCTTCATATGCCAGCAGGACCAGAGGCAGAGTCAAGAGAAAGGGATCAGAGTCAGTCTTTCCCCCATCCTGGACGGTCTTCCCTTTCCAGGTAAAACTTCCCAGGTCTTTAAACCAAATCTTAACAGGTAAATCTCAAACCAAGAAATGGATTTGAAAAGCAATAGTGGCTATTACATTAACAACTGCTTCCAGGAATATCTGGCACAGGTGTAAATCTAGGCCTACAAACAGGAAAATACATTTTTAATCAGCACTCTTACAGTTAGGAAGAAGAGAAGAAGAGGAGTTTGGATTTGATATCCTGCTTTATCACTACCCGAAGGAGTCTCAAAGCGGTTAACATTCTCCTTTCCCTTCCTCCCCCACAACAAACACTCTGTGAGGTGAGTGGGGCTGAGAGACTTCAGAGAAGTGTGACTGGCCCAACGTCACCCAGCAGCTGCGTGTGGAGGAGCGGAGACGCGAACCCGGTTCCCCAGATTACGAGACTACCGTTCTTAACCACTACACCACACTGGCTCTCTAATTATTAGGCCCTAGGTGTAAAAGGAACCAATTGCTTTGAAGGAAAAACTTCAGCTTGTTTATTTCCTCATTAAAAATGTCACAGGACTCTGTTTGTTAACGAAAATGGCAAGAGGTAACATGATTCAAGTCAAGATGGCTTTTCCCTGTATTTAACACCAGAAATTATTATAATAACTCTAAGTACATATTCATCACAGACTGCCCTTTCAGACAACACGAGTGATACTCTTCTTACACTTTCTTGAAGAGATTCCTGTAGGTGATGATTTTCAGCTTCTCGAGAATAAGGAAGATACCACAGCGAATGAAGAATGTCTCATGTTTTGCCAGAGCCTCGTTCAATAAAAGAAGGTTCCCTTCACTAGAGGAATTTAAAATTAAGAAACGTTTTGAAAAGGCTTGTTTCAGGGCAGATGCATACAGCATGTCTTTCCTACATATGGTACACAGGCATAGAGAAGGAGGCGGCTGGACAGGGAAAAGGAGAACTGCTTCTTCTGGACACAGTAGTTTTCTATGCAGTAGGGAAGGTTTATGGGGAGAGGGAAGGAAGCTGAAGAAGAAGAAAAGAGTTTGGATTTGATATCCCGCCTTTCACTCCCCTTCAGGAGTCCCAAAGCGGCTAACATTCTCCTTTCCCTTCCTCCCCCACAACAAACACTCTGTGAGGTGAGTGGGGCTGAGAGACTTCAAAGAAGTGTGACTGGCCCAAGGTCACCCAGCAGCTGCATGTGGAGGAGCGGGGAATCGAACCCGGTTCACCAGATTACGAGACTACCGCTCTTAACCACTGCACCACACTGGCTCTTGTGAATGTGAAATCAGCTCATAAAAGGTCAGATTCTGTCAAAGAAATGAAACTTACCTCACAGCCTTTGTAACTTCAGCAAACTGCATGAGGTCATATTTTTTTAAAAGCTGGATCATTGGCATGTGGCCCTGAAATCAAAGCACAGTCTGAAGTCGATTTGACAGCTTTAGGACATCCTGCTCTTGAAGAATTCCAGCCCTCTGTTCTGGAATGGTTCTCAGCAGAGTTCCAACTGAGCCATTCTGCAATTTTCGCCACTGACTTGGTGATTCACCAAGCCAAGCATAAACTACCAAGCACTGAATACACCTCTTGGTTTTGCTGTGAACTAGGAACTTTAAATGCCGATTAGTTATCAAGCATGCAGCTGGATTTCTCCATGGGTGGCGGCAGCACACATTCAGCTTGAGAGGTTACATGTTGTGCAGGTTCACCCTAGCCTATACTTGTCTGAGCAGCCTGGTAAACACAGATCGTAGTTACAAAGCGCTGGAGTATGCCAAAAGAATTTTGATATGTTCAGATGCCACTCACCAGTAACATTTTCACAGGCAGCAAATAAATTAAAATCATCCTTTTGTTTTTCTGGCTGGAGCGGTGGCAGTGCTCAAAGGCAAAAGATAGATACTCTTCGGCTGAAAACACAGAAAGAAGGTTAATGCCATGGCTAAAACAGATATCCCATATTTACCAATGGTAAGGAAACACTTTTTAGAATAATGGTGTCAAAGCTACCTGGAAAATGTTCATGGCTTTTTGTCCTTTATTTTACAGTTTTGCAAGTATTCACACTGAAATAAAACCAGCCTCCGCCACTCCTTCCCCCACCCAAACAAAATATTTATCATCATATTTGAGTGTGGCTTGTATATAGTCAAGTTTCATAGCATTTATTTCCACACTCACTGTTAGCTCTGTGGTATCAGCTTTCCTGAATTGCAATAATGATGATGATGATGATGATGATGATGATAATAATAATAATAATAATAATAATAATAATAATAATAATAATTTATTTATACCCCGCCCATCTGGCTGGGTTTCCCCAGCCACTCTGGGCGGCTTCCAATGGAACACTAAAATACAATAAGCTATTAAACATTAAAAGCTAAGCAGGGCTGCCCTCAGATGTCTTCTAAAATAAGCTTTTGCCTTCCAATGTTTGCCAGAAACCAAAGTGTTTGGGAAAGCAAAAGACTCTGACACACTGTTTTGGTTTTTTTAAGTATGTGACCTAAGTTGAATGAGAGCCATTTTACTTATTTTCAGGTCATTTCACTCCCCGCCCCTCAACAGATATAACTGAGGCTGGTTTAATGTGAAGCCAAACTACCCCTCTTTTTTTCCTCCTACTCTGAACACTGAAAGGAGTATATCAATAAAACTAGAGGGGAAAAATATGTATTTAAAATGCTTACAATATTAATGCAACTCCACACACTTTAGTTTCAGGTAGACATTACCACAGAACTAGATTTAGGACATCAGCAGTGCTTTGGGGCTTGTGCATTCTCCCTTCCTTGGCTCTCTCCTGGGCAATCCCCTTTTCTTCTTTCAGCTTCAGGGCTAACTATAGGCAGTGTTACATCGACACAAACCACAGTTAGTGCAAACCCATTTCTAACCATGGCTGCCATTAACTATGGTTAATGAAACCACCCAGTTCAGATGTAATACTAGCCATAGTTTCATCTGAAACTGAAAGGTTGGGGGGGGGAGAGATTATGTCAGTTTGCATTTCTTAGTACAGAAAGTCTTGATCTGATGTGTGGAGATCTTTCCTATTCTACTTAATTCAAGAAGGTTCTGGAAGCTTCTCTGTGTGAAATAAACAAGCAGAAGGTTCATGGTGTTTGGGTTATTCCTTCAGAGAAGCTGAGTACAGCTGGTTTAAACTGGTTGTGTTATCTCTTTCTGTCAAGGTCATGCTGACTATAATATTGAGGCCAGATGGAGCCTGGGTTTCATTCTCTCTCTATCTCTTTTCCTTCTGGTGTAGTGTTCTATATCTAGTGTTAAGATTTAGCCAACCTATAAGTTACTGCAAGTTTAAGTCTGCTGCAACTGGATTTCTTATGGACAGTGCCAATCCTGAATGTACTGGATTTGTGACCATTATGCTCATTTGCCTTCAGTAGCAGTAAAGCTCTGCTGGATGAAATGCCTTTTTGGGGAGGATCCTGCAATGTGTTTAAGTTGTTACTCTGCTAACTATACATTGGAATCTACTCTGGATCAATACTGAGTAGAATTCAAATGGCAGATTATAAATAGCAAAGAGATTTAGCTAACAAGGCTAACTAACCCACGCCTAGAACTTGTGGCTTGAAGATAGTTTGTACCTTCACCTTAAGCGCTATCTCACCAGTGCAACATGTCACATCACAATGGCATTACAGTGGTGCCCCGCAAGACGAACGCCTCGCAAGACAGAAAACCCGCTAGACGAAAGGGTTTTCCGTTTTGGAGGTGCTTCACAAAACGAATTTCCCTATGGGCTTCCTTCGCAAGACGAAAGCCCATAGGGAAATCTCCGGGACAGCGGGGAAGTGCAGCGCGTCTTCCCCACTGTCCTCGGACCTCCTCCAAAGGCTGGCGGCGGGGCGGAGAGACCTCCTCCCGCCGCCAGCCTTCGTTTCTCCGCTATCCCGGACGGCTTTTGAAGGCAGGCGGGGGGGAGCAAAGACTTTCGCCCCCCGCCGGCCTTCAGAAGAGGTCCAGGACCTCTTCTGAAGGCCGGGGGGGGGCAAAAGTCTTTGCTCCCCCTGCCTGCCTTCCCGGGGGCTTTTAAATCGCCCCGGGACAGCGGAGAAGTCCTCCGCTGTCCCGGGGTTTTTTAAAATGCTGACGGGCGGCAGCGGAGGCTTCGCTGCCGCCCGCCAGCATTTTAAGATCGCCCCGGGACAGCGGAGATGTCTCCGCTGTCCCGGGGTTTTTTAAAATGCTGGAGGTGGGAAGAAAAGCCCTTGTCCCCCCCAGCCTTCAGAAGAGGTCGGGGGACAGACTGTCCCCGGACCTGGTCTGAAGTCGGTTTCCATAGGAACGCATTGATTGATTTTCAATGCATTCCTATGGGAAACCGTGTTTCGCAAGACGAAAAACTCACAAGAAGAAAAAACTTGCGGAACGAATTAATTTCGTCTTGCGAGGCACCACTGTACAGATAGATGCACCAACACAAACTGCTTAAAACTGCACAAAACCACATCAATGCGCACAACACTTTTGGCAAAAAAACAAATAAACCAATACAGTACCTTGTTTAAAGTCACTGTCAAACATAGCTTTCCGTCCAACATAGTATCTGTATGTCACCCTCTGTGCCATACTGTATTCATCTTTAAGATTTGAGCTATCAATTGCTCTTATCAGCGGCTTGCACAGATGAAGCTTGTTGATCTGGAAACGAGCCTGACGTTAGCAGAGGGAAATCAGCACAAAACGGCAGGATTGCTTTAGGAGTTTGGTTCAAGGTCGTACCTTAAAATAAATCTTGAACAGCTGATTCACCAGAAACAACATGCCCCACTTCTTGGAATCCTCAATGCCAGCTCGACTATAAAAAAACATTTAAAATGCATCAGGATCGGATTGTATTTTAAAAGGCAAAGAAAATCCTCTAAGCCTCTGATCCACTTTTTTGCAAACCGACAAAAACAACAGAACCTAACCAAGCTGCCACCTATATACATATATACAGACACACACAGGCTACTCCTGGTCCAATTTAAACAGCGCATTCACTTACGTGTCGCTGGCACATACTCGAAAACAGCTCATAAGGAGTTCTGCTGCTTTTTCCAACATGTCGCCAACTTTGCCTTTGCCTTTCTTTGCCAGCTGCTGGTCAGCCTATCGTGACACAAAGCAACCGAGAGTCACAGTCATACTCCTACTGGCAGGCCTTTGTCTTTTCCTAACAGTAACCGAGATGAAGTGTAGAACTCAAACATGCATTCGAAAAGGATGAATCAACCCCCCATCCTGCGTGTTGCAAACACACAGCTGCACAATCAAGGCTCTAACCATTTTGCTCTGAGCAGCAGACATCTTCAACGTGTCCTTAAACACATCATAGGCCAGTTCTCTCCTCCCAACCCCACAACCAGCAAAATTAGATTGTCTGCTGTCAGAACAACTGCCCTGTAGGAAACACTTGCTTTGTAGAACCAATGCATGTCCTGCTTACACTGCAAACAAGACCCCAAGAACAATTTCTTTAACCAAATTTATATATTGGTTGAGTGTAAGAAAACCTCAAAGCAATATGCAGAGCAAGTGCTCCCAAGGCAAGGCGAGTCTCAGGATGAGCACAGAAAAACCCCAAGGTTTTCCCCAGATCAGATAGGCCTTCACCACCACCACCCACAGCAACCTCACTGGCACCCAGTAACTTAGTGACCAAAGATACTACTTACACTATTAGCAAAAATTCGAAGATCGAGGGCTACCGCATACATAATAGGCAAAGCCCTGGAAAAAAATAAAATACAACATAACAATGCATACAGCATATCCCAAGTCTAGCAGCTTACGGGGCAGTTTTAAGTTTGCCCTCAAGCACATATATATAGCCTTCAGAGATACCCCTTTCATGGTACTGTTTGATACCATCTCCCCTACACCAAACTCCATCTTTTCTCTTCACATTTGTCCTTTCAATCCTTCTTGCTGGGAGCTGTGCAACCTTTGTTTTCATGATTTCTAATAGCCTTAGTTGGCCCTATGCACAACTAATGATGAAACATTTAGAGATGGCTTTCAATGCAATGGCATTTTGACCATCAACAGAAGAAATGGCATTTGCCTCTAGGTGAAAAGTCCGTTCTATTTAGCAACGGCATAGTTCTCCTTAAACGTTTACCAGATACTTACCAGTTTTCTTCTTTGTGTGCTTGAAAGGCTCTCAGGAAAGATGTGCAAGGGTTACGGAAAATTAATACACAGTGATTTATATAATGATGTGTTATTAAAGCAAACACAGACAACAATAATGGGAACAGCGACTGGGCAACCTCATGGACCATGTATTTCAGTAATTTACTACAGATGTTTACCAGAGGGTGGCTGCCGGTAGCCAGGTTGTCTGTATCCAGGCTGAAGCTACCACACCACCAGAAGCTGGCAAGTCACTCCATGCCACCGGTATCACTTAGATATCTAAAGCAAGGGATGGATATAACAACCCTACCAAACAACAAATGTGGTTTTTAAGGAGAAAAGCAATTCCATCCACAATGGGGTGGCAATTATGCAGGTACCTCCAAGTTTGGTGCATCCTTCCCCAACTTGAAGCTCTTCAGATGTTGCTGTACTACAAATCCCATTAGTTGATGAGAGTAATGGGAGTTGTAGCCCACGAACATCTGGAGAAAACCAGGCTGGTGGGGAATATTGTTCATCCAGCCAGCAGCACAAATGTCCCATTTGTCCAGTTATCTAACGAAAGCCCAGCATCTCTCCATATCCTTCAGTTCAACACTATCTTCTCCTGGGAATGCAGCCAGCAGCCCCATATTGTCCTCACACAGACTTGTTCATTCCTTAGGCCATGCTGAAGGTTCTGAACTCAAAATTCCATAGCAGACTTTTAATGGAGTGAATCATAAAGGATATTGTACTATAACTGTCTGGCACTTGTAAGCTTCTACAAAATCGTGGTTGGCAACTGCGTAAGTACATCTATCAAGAGGAGAGAGAAAGATTAAGATTCATGAGACATGTGTGTTACTAAGGGAAAATATGATGAAGATGCTATTTAGATGGTATATGACACCCGTAAAATTAGCTAAGATGTATAAAACAGATAACAAATGCTGGAAATGCAGACAAAAAGAAGGAACGTTCTATCATCTATGGTGGGAGTGTAGGAAAGTTAAAGGCTTCTGGGATGAAATTTATAATGAAATGAAAAAATACTAAGCTATACTTTCGTAAAGAAACCTGAAGCTTTTCTATTAGGCATGGTGGGAAAAGACATCAAAAGAAATGATTGTAAAATCTTCCAGTATGCGGTAACGGCAGCTAGAATTGTGGTAGCGCAGAAGTGGAAGCAGGAAGAAAGCCCAACGATAGCAGAGTGGAGACTAAAACTGACTGAATATGCTGAGCTGGATAAATTAACAGGGAAAATTAGATATATTAAGGATCAAAAATTTATTAATGACTGGGGGAAATTTGTGAGTTATCTGGAGAACAAATGTTTTGTAAATACAACGCTAGTGGGATTTAAAGAGGCACTGTAAAGCATTAAGAGGTATTGCTTATTGGAAATAATGTATGAAGGGAGGTATGAATGGCAGTATGAACGATTGGAATGTGTTATAAAGAAACAAATACGAATGAATGTCAACGACGCTGAAGGAAGTCTAAAATGTATGAGATGTACGAAATACGAATATAATGTATATATATGGAATATTAATAAAATTTTAAAATGCAAAAAAAAAAAAAGATTCATGAGACAATAGCAAAGCTTTATGCTATTTACTTTAGCTAGATTGATAAGTGCAATTCTTTGCATATTTGCTAGCAAAAAAAACCCCCATATCTACCCAGAGTGCTTACTTCCGAGTACGTTTGTTTCAGCACTGAAGTCTAAAAATTTGTATTTGGCAACAGGTAATACTTGTTATTTTCCTCTACACTAAAGATATTTGAGCAGAATTTTTTTACTTTCCAGCTTACAGACTGCAATCTTGTACAGACTGAATAAAGCAGGACTGATTTTCAAGTGAGCATACACATAACCTGGTTACACATTATACAGAGCACTGGGGCTCCTCTTACAGTTTTTCTGTTTTTACTATCACTGCTTCCAATGCTTATGTCCCTCCATTTTGCACTGCACTAAGTTCAATGGGTCTTACTCCTAGGTAAAATATGCATAGAACTTGTAGCTTGAATCTTCAAGAATTCAAGCCATAACCCTCCAAAAAGTTTTACCTTAAGTGGGCAGCAAACATTTCATCATAGGGTGGTTCCAGCACTTGCTGACATTTTTCTTCTGGAGATGAAAGCTAATAATAAATTAAATGCAATGAGAAATGTGATACCTTGTTACGTGCAAAAGAATGTAACAAAAAGGGCTAGATTTAGGGGAAAGAAACCACCAGGGGAACAGGGCTTGTTGGACACTGTGCAATCAATTACTGACTCAACAGCGTTAAAAAACAACAGCAACAGTTCTTCAATCATAAAGCTTGCAATATTGGCCTGTGTAGCCAATTGGCCTATTGCGCTAACATTTTAAAATTGGCCTATTGCGATAACATTTTTAAATTATCTGTGAGAAAATTTAGAACGTCAGTGCATATTCAATAAATGGTGTGCATATGAGAGAAAGTGATCAGATCCATGCAAACACATTTATTATAATATGTGACAAGAAAAAATTACGCATGTAAATCAAGTTCATAAAGTACAATAAAAGACAATGTATTCAAGAGCTGAACATATGGGCAGGGCTGCTGAAGATCTTACTATTTGGTCCATGGCTTGCCTTGGTAATTAAGGTTTTATTTTTGTGGTTCTTATTTATATACAATGCTTAGAGAGATTCATTTTTAATTATCCTGCTTAAAATGTGGAATTGTTATTAGTAGTAATATTAGTGGTATTGTTTGGTACTGAATGCAGAATTTGCATTATACCTATTCCTTTTTGTTGGGATAAGTAAACCACATACAGTGGTGCCTCGCAAGACGAAATTAATTCGTTCCGCGAGTTTTTTCGTCTTGCGAAGCACAGTTTTGGGAAAGTTTTGGAAAAGCTTCAAAAATCACCAAAGTCTTCAAAAACCTCAAAAAAGGCTACCACACCGCGTGCTATGAGTTGCTCCTCGAAGTCAAGTCGCAACTGTATTAACAGTGTTAAGAAAAAGGAAACAAACTTGCAAGACGTTTCCGTCTTGCGAAGCAAGCCCATAGGGAAAATCGTCTTACGAAGCAACTAAAAAAACCAAAAACCCTTTCGTCTTGCGAGTTTTTTGTCTTGCGAGGCATTCGTCTTGCGAGGTACCACTGTAGTTGAAATATGAAGCCGGTTATAAATTAACTAACCAAAATAATGTAGCAGAATGCAATTATTTTACACTGGAAATGGTTACGGCAGAAATTACCTTTTCAGTACAAATACAGCAGAGCAGTTGAGTTCCCTTAATGTAAGTGCTGAAGATTTTCATGCTTATACATGTTTACTCAGAATAAACACCCACCATGTACAGTGGGGCTTACTCCATAATGGCACTGTGGTCTAAACCACTGAGCCTCTTGGGCTTGCTGATTAGAAGGTGGGCAGTTAGAATCTGTGCAACAGGTTGAGCTCCCATTGCTCTGTCCCAGCTCCTTCCAACTTAGCAATTCAAAAGCATGCCAATGCAAGCAGATAAATAGGTACTGCTGTGGCAGGAAGGTAAACGGCATTTCCGTGCGCTCTGGTTTCCGTCATGGTGTCCTGTTGTGCCAGAAGTGGTTTAGTCATGCTGGCCACATGACCCAGAAAACTGTCTGCGGACCAATGCCAGCTCCCTCGACCTGAAGCAAGATGAGTGCTGCAGCCCATAGTCAAGTTTGACAGGACTTAACTGTCCAGGAGTCCTTTACCTTTATTGTTTTACTCCATAGTAAACATGCTTAGTAAGCCCCATTCAGTTCTGCTAGTCTTACTTGCAGATAAAGTGTATACAGGATGGCAACTCAAATCTCTTACCTGAAGTCTAGGATTTGCAACATGAGGATGTTTAAATGACACCAACTCTGCACAAAACAGTCCATCTCTGCTGTCAATAGATTCTAACACCTGTAATAGGAACACACACACAAAATATTATAGAACAAATTCCCTAGCCATACCCACAGAAGCAGTAAGAAATATTCTCATTCCTTGTTTTGTCAATTGCCATTTTGGTGAAAAGGCTAGGGAGGAGAACCTGTTACCTTCAAGATGTTGTTGACTTCAGCTCTGATTATCCCTGGCCAGCAGACATGCTGCCAGCAACTGACGGTAATTTGAGTCGAACAACATCTGGAGAGTGACAATTTCCTGGTGCAAGAGTGGGGAAACCTCCAAGTTTCACTGCAAGGGAATGTGACATTCATTCTTGCACCAATGCAGAGACCAGCCTTCTATATCCCCTACAGCTAAAAGAATACCAGTGAGCAGTGGATGATTTTAGTGAGGCAAAGAAAGGTAAAAATTTGAAGAGACTTTGTGCCCAGTCAATTAGCTACTTTTTAGGGACGCGGGTGGCGCTGTGGGTAAAACCTCAGCGCCTAGGACTTGCTGATCGCATGGTCGGCGGTTCGAATCCCCGTGGCGGGGTGCGCTCCCGTTGCTCGGTCCCAGCGCCTGCCAACCTAGCAGTTCGAAAGCACCCCCGGGTGTAAGTAGATAAATAGGGACCGCTTACTAGTGGGAAGGTAAACGGCGTTTCCGTGTGTGCTGCGCTGGCTCGCCAGAGCAGCTTTGTCACGCTGGCCACGGAAGTGTCTCCGGACAGCGCTGGCTCCCGGCCTATAGAGTGAGATGAGCGCACAACCCTAGAGTCTGTCAAGACTGGCCCGTATGGGCAGGGGTACCTTTACCTTTACCTTAATAAGAGTTTTAATGGCTAGCTCAGTTGATTAGAGTGTGGTGCTGATAAGGCCAAGGTAGACATGTCTACTCAGAAGTAAGCACCACTGAGTTCAATGGCACTTGCTTCCAAATTAGGATGTGTAAGATTCACCACAAAACTGTCACTTACCTGTTGCAGATACTGATTTATACTGATATGTGCCATTGAAAGGGTGTTGCTCCAAAGCAAGTAAGCACCTTATACTGAAAACAAAACAAAAAGAACACTATGAATCATGATGACAAAATAGTTATTCTGTGGACCAGACTGGGGCAACTATCGTCAACCCTCCTCAAATGTTTGCATGCTTGGGTAAAAAGGGGTGGGAGAATGGATATGACTCTTGCCTTTGCACAGCAGGCTATGTTCCAGCTAAATTAAAAATCAGATGTTGCTATACACACAAGACTTCTAGAAAGAAAGAAAGAGCAGAGAAACTGCAGAGAATATGATCCACCCCAGGATGTGATAATCTATCTGACGTGGAAGCTAGAACCACAACATTCCAAAAAGGAACTCTGCACATGCTCAGAAGTACATTCAGAAAGGAAGGAAGGAAGGTCTGGGGCACTTGAAAGGCTCAGACATTTATTACGAGAGAAGCTTTGCAAAGAAAAAGGCCTTGCGGGTTTCAGGGTTGGCGAGCGACGAGCTTTCTTGCCTGATCCCGACGTGCAGCGCCCCAGAACTCCTCCACGCTGCACACCGAGCATGCGCAGAACAACCACTCCATCGGACCCCTCCCCCGCGAGCCCCTTGTTGACGACCTACCGCCGAGTTTCAGCACACGCAACTCCTAGACGCGTCGCTTCGGCGGTTCGCGAGGAAGCCCAGCAGTGAAGAGTCGCACCGACAACGATGCGTTAGCTTAGGGAAAAAAAGAACTTCCTTTCCGCCGAGATCTTACCCCTTCGCGGATTGGCTATCGCCACCTCAAGGCTCCACCTACTCCCTCTGCTCACGTGACATGTTCGGCCATACAGCCTGCGTCGCTGCTCCTCGCGAGGCCGGCAGAGGTGGGTGGGCGGGGCCTCCGCTCGCCGTTCACCTTAGATTGAAGGGGGCGGGGCCTCACCAAAGCCTCCTATTTAAATCGCAACCGGCGCAGGGTTCGTCTTAGGGGCGGGGGAGGATTTTATCCCGATTTAAGGCGATATAGAATAGATGACAGGATCAGGGGTGCTAAATTCATCCCGTTCTGTTGTTCCATTTTTGTTGTTGCTGTTCCGCCCTACCTTCTAGGCGTTTGCATATAATCTTTATATGTACGTAGAAAATCACATGCCATCTCTATACCTATTTATACAGTAGAATTGCAGTTTGCAACAACCAGTGGCCCAGACTCTCGAGCAAACTATTCAAACCCGCGTTCAGTCTGTGAGAGTCTCATGCAAACCTGACTACAGTCCACATGTAATCATGTAATGTTTTTACTATTTGTATAATAATAATATTTATATGCTGCCCATCTGTCTGGGTTACCCCAGCCACTCTGGGCAGCTTCCAACAAATCAAAACACAAATGTGGAAAGCAGCAAATGTGGTGGTGCATGTTTACGCAGAAGTCCAACTGATTTCATTGTGACTTGCCCCCTTCAATGGGCAGCCCTACATACTGCACAAGTAATGAGTGAAGTTGCAAGCTGATGGAATACTTGAACCCAGTGGGTCTTTCTTCTTAATAAAGGGGCCTAGACTTTGTGCCAAGTAGGGATCATTAACAGTTATGAATGTTTTACTTTGTGTTCAAATCAACATAGTTCTAGCCCAGCTAAAAGGCCCTACCCCTTGTAAGCAATTGTGAAGTTGTGTACATTTGAGCAGTGTATACATATATATTATTTATACACTGAAATAGTAGTGACTGACAGGGAAAGATATATTTGAGTTGTGCTAGATAGCTCAGTGAAAATGTTGACAGCTGTTCTGCAGCTGCAAAATGGCAAACCCCATGTTAGGAAAAGAACTGAAAATAAACTGTCAATGTCACGGCTTCATTATCTTTGCTCACTGTGAATGGTGCATCTGTGAACCACCTTGAGATATCCAGGTATAGGGCGGTATATAAATTCACATAATAATAATAATAATCATCATCATCATCATCATCTGCAGCAGCACACCCCAGAGGCTTCCATCTGCCCCAGCTGCAACAAAACATGTCTCTCCCCTATGGGTAGCTCTACAGCAGGCATAGGCAAACTCAGCCCTCCAGATGTTTTGGGACTTCAACTCCCAGTGCTTTTTGTCTTCACCCCACTTCTCCTCCATTGTCTCCCGAGGCAGACAGAATGCCAACCTCGCAGCTTCTTCTGCTTGGTCTTGAGACTTGTAAATCCGGGGACTGTCCCCGGGAAACGAGGACGTCTGGTGACCTTACTATACAGTATCAGCTTGTTCCCACGACGAATAAACCTGGCTTCTCTTTCTCTACTCAGAATGAACTTGCGTAGAGTTCAAAGGAGATGGGGGGGTGGTTTCTTTGTTTGTTTGATTTATTTGTTTGACTAACTGATTTGTCGTTCCGTTTAATTCACAATGCAAAGAATCACACGGCGCCCTTTTACTGTGCAAAAAACCACACAACGTAAGAGCAAAACAAAGCAGAAATAGCGCCTCCCTCGCCCGCGCACCGCCCACCCCCACCCCTTAGGTAAGTGGATATAGGATTGCGGCCTTGGCCTGCCTAACGCCGAGCTGCTGCTGTGGAAACGGCGGCGGTGTCGGAGGTGCTGCTTCGCCAGTTGCCTCCCACCACCCCCTTGCCTGGCCCCTGCCCGAGTCCCGTGACAGCAGGCTAGAGCCCTCCTCCGGGCCGAGGAAGTCGTAGGTATCTGCCCCGGCGAGGCGCATCCGCCGCCTCGGCCTTGCTTTCAGCAGCCGCCCCGACCCGCGGCGGAGGCAGCAGCTTCGGCCTTCACCCGAGGGGACCAAAGGAGCCATTTTGTGAGGTGGCGTCGGGGGCGTCGTCGTCTGCTGCTTGCCGCTTCTTCGCTGTTCCCGCACGCCGAGTCCAGCGGCCAGGAAGCGGGCGCCGCTCCGGCCTTTTCCTTCTTCGCTTTCCGCGCGCCCCTCATGGAAGCGCCTTGGTCGCTGAGGCGGCGCCCTGTTGGCGGCGAGGATCTTTACCGTTGTTGTTATTACCGTCGCCCCCTTTTGAGAGCCGTCGTTCAAAACTGAGAGGAAAGCCGGAGGGAAGGAGGGAGGGGCACCAAGGGAAATCTACACCCCACCCACCCCCGGGATTGCTGGGTCGAACATGGCCGGCGAGCCCCAGAAGAAGCAGCACTTGTCGGCGCTGGTGGGGCACACCAACGGCTTCACCAAGCCCGCTTCCCTGGCAGCTGTGGCCGGAGTCCGAAGCGGGCCGGCCGGCTCTGGAGCTGCTGGTGGAGGAGCCACGTCCAAGAAATTAGTGATCAAGAACTTCAGAGGTGGGTGTGCAAGCGCACCTAGGATGCTGGAGGAGGAAGGAGATGTTCGCGTGTGGGACTCGTCTCCCCTGTTTGTTTGGGTTTTGTTTTTTTGCAAGTGAACGTGTCGCGCTCACAAACACCCTCATTTCAAACGTTTTGTTCTGATTTCTTTTTCGTCCCCATTTGAATAGCTCGTTTAGAAATGCAACCTGGTTTTGTTTTTGTTTCCCACCCCTTTGCAGATGTGCTTAAGGGGTTGTCAGATTCAAAGGCGGGATTCTAAAAATGGTGTAAAAGTGGGTTTTCCTTGGGTGACGAGTTAGGGATACAAAATGGTTTCTCCTACACTGTCGGTTTGGGGGTTTTGTTCGTTTGTTTTAATGTTACTGACCTGCCTTGTTTTGCACTTGGGGATATTAGGCGATCAACATCACAAATGTGGATAGGGTTGTTGTTGTTTATTGAATTTATATACCGCCCTATACCCCAGGGGTTATCTCTTAATATCCTTGAAACCTGCCTTTCAGTGCAAGCCTATACACACACACACACACACACACACACACACGTAAGCCCCACTGACTTCAATAGGACTCCCTCTCAGGTAAGTATGCATAGGCTTGCAACCCTAGTTGCACTTGAGGGGGTTAAAGACAGAAGCTTAATTTCTTGCCCCCAAACCTCCTGCTATGTTCTTATGGGTGAACCTACAATGATGATGGGATGGGGCTCTCTAAAAAATTATGTGGCGTAAAAGGGTGTGATCTTGTGAATGTAGCTCAGAACATTTTCACATGTGGCATTAAAAGTGACATTTGACCTAACAGACAGCAAGCAATTTTAAAACTGATTGGTGAAAACAGTCTTACTTCTCTGTATCTTCAAGATTCACATATTTTGATTGTAATGCTGTTGACTTATTAATATGAGTCAGCAGAATTCCAGAAGTCTTCCTTGATTTTAAAAAGCTCTTCAGGCACACAAGAGTGTGAGTATGTGTGTTTGCTTGCATACATACATACATGCTTGCTTGTAAACAAGCCTGAATGCAGGAAACTTGATATTTACCATACAGATGTACTTGCTGTCATCTTAAGCCTGGCTGGGGAGGGGTTGCTCTTTGTCAGGCAGACCAAGGACTCTAAGCAACTTTTCCTTGTTTGACATGCAGGAGTATAAGAGTGTTTGGCACTTTGCCTGGTCAGATCAGTCACTGGCAGCCAATCAGGAGCACAGGCCCCTTGGCTTGTGTTGACGTGTGACATCCATTGCCCTTTCCTCACTTTACTGTCCACATGGGACCTCTCTATCAGAGTGAAACTAGATTTTGTTACTGTTATCACAGAGGCAGTTTTAAGTCTCATATTTCCTTCATCTGTTGCTTGGTGTCCTGCGGCATTGTCTGAAGGTCCACCAAATGACAGCAAGCTGCTGTGTACTGCATGTTGTTTAATTGTGTCTAACCGCTATCCACTGCTTTCATACTCTTATCATTAACAAATTAGAATCTGTAGACATCACCTGAAATGTTGAGGAAGTTAAAGTATGCTAAGGAACAACTAGGGACGCTGGTGGCGGTTCAAATCCCCGCGGCGGGGTGCGCTCCCGTTGTTTGGTCCCAGCACCTGCCAACCTAGCAGTTTGAAAGCACTCCCAGGTGCAAGTAGATAAATAGGGACCGCTTACTAGCGGGAAGGTAAACGCCGTTTCCGTGTGCTCGCCAGATGCAGCTTTGTCACGCTGGCCACGTGACCCGGAAGTGTCTCCGGACAGCGCTGGCCCCCGGCCTCTTGAGTGAGATGGGCGCACAACCCCAGAGTCTGTCAAGACTGGCCCGTATGGGCAGGGGTACCTTTACCTTTAAGGAACAACTAATCCTTTCAATCTGAAGTATACACTCTCAAGCATCTCTCATGTGTCCAGTTAAACATCTCCAAAAAAGAGATTTCACTCCTATGAAGCTGAGCTTTGTATTTTTTTCACAAAACATTACCGGTATGTTACTTGCCTAAACTTAGTTAGCCTAACCCTTCTTTCTCACCCTCACCCACTTTAATGCTGCATAACAAATTCAGGGACATATACATACATGACAGTTCATTTTAGAATATATGTGCAGCAACAGGTATTACACGTACAGGGGAA